GTGTTTCGGTGCTCTTTCTATTACATGTAAATCAACTATAATCAATTTTTGAAGACACGTACATATTGAACCAAAAAAAGTGAATGATTGACTCATACTTTAAACAATGAATAACCCGTTAAGTGGAGTTTTTATAATGATGCTTAACTTGGCATTATATATACAAAAAAACAATAAAAAATTCAGAGGTAGCAAAAAATACCGCTGACTAAGGTTTAATCTTGCTTAACGTCTAACTTAACACAGTAGTTTGTATTTTTTTGTAAATGTGTATACAGTACTTTATCGTGTTGTTTTCAGTATATAAGACATTACAAATATTTCTTAATGTATGAACACAAATTTTAAATTTTCAAAAAGCTCATGTTTTTATTTGTTAATTGCGCATGTTAAACTAAATAACTTTACTTTTGTAATTAAAACATATATTACATTTAGACATGCACAAAAAATCTCGATTATAATTTCAGTGTTCAATGTATAATTAACATTAAACTAATATTTAGAAAAATATTTGCATGTTTGCTTTATTTGTACCTTACGAAAAAACAAAACGAAACAAAACAATCATCAACAAGTATATGTATATACAAAATATAATAATACATTAAACAATGTGTGGCCTTTGTGCTTTCCTTCTGTGATTCCGGTCCAGTTTATAAAGGCCCATCATCATATGTAGTTTGTGAGTGCAGTATCACAAATGTACTATATCTTGAACAAAGTGTGGCTTTTGTACATATGTGTAGATGTACACGAGTTTCAATATCATTAAGTACATGTAATACCGCTTTCAACGGTAAAAAATTGGAACATATACATACAATATCAAAGTATAAATTTAATTGTATATGTGTCGAATAAAATAATACCTTAAACAAAGTGTGACTTTTGTACACATGTGTAGATGTACACAAGTTTCGACATCATTAAGTAATACCGCTTACAACGGTAAAAAATTGGAACATATACATACAATATCTTAGTATAAATTTAATAGTATATGTGTCAAATAAAATAATACCTTAAACATAGTGTGACTTTTGTACATATTTGAAGATGTACACGAGTTTTGACATCATTAAGTAAAACCGCTTTCAACGGGGAAAATTTGGAACATATACATACAATATCAAAGTATAAATTTAATTGTATATGTGTCGAATAAAATAATACCTTAAACAAAGTGTGGCTTTTGTACATATGTGTAGATGTACACGAGTTTCAATATCATTAAGTAATACCGCTTTCAACGGTAAAAAATTGGAACATATACATACAATATCAAAGTATAAATTTAATTGTATATGTGTCGAATAAAATAATACCTTAAACAAAGTGTGGCTTTTGTACATATGTGTAGATGTACACGAGTTTCAATATCATTAAGTAATACCGCTTACAACGGGGAGAAAATTGGAACATATACATACAATATCAAAGTATAAATTTAATTGTATATGTGTCGAATAAAATAATACCTTAAACAAAGTGTGACTTTTGTACATATTTGAAGATGTACACGAGTTTTGACATCATGAAGTAAAACTGCTTTCAACGGGGAAAAAATTGGAACATATACATACAATATCAAAGTATAAATTTAATTGTATATGTGTCGAATAAAATAATACCTTAAACAAAGTGTGACTTTTGTACACATGTGTAGATGTACACAAGTTTCGACATCATTAAGGAATACCGCTTACAACGGTAAAAAATTGGAACATATACATACAATATCAAAGTATAAATTTAATAGTATATGTGTCAAATAAAATAATACCTTAAACATAGTGTGACTTTTGTACATATTTGAAGATGTACACGAGTTTTGACATCATTAAGTAAAACCGCTTTCAACGGGGAAAATTTGGAACATATACATACAATATCAAAGTATAAATTTAATTGTATATGTGTCGAATAAAATAATACCTTAAACAAAGTGTGGCTTTTGTACATATGTGTAGATGTACACGAGTTTCAATATCATTAAGTAATACCGCTTTCAACGGTAAAAAATTGGAACATATACATACAATATCAAAGTATAAATTTAATTGTATATGTGTCAAATAAAATAATACCTTAAACAAAGTGTGACTTTTGTACATATTTGAAGATGTACACGAGTTTTGACATCATTAAGTAAAACCGCTTTCAACGGTAAAAAATTGGAACATATACATACAATATCAAAGTATAAATTTAATAGTATATGTGTCAAATAAAATAATACCTTAAACAAAGTGTGACTTTTGTACATATTTGAAGATGTACACGAGTTTTGACATCATTAAGTAAAACCGCTTTCAACGGTAAAAAATTGGAACATATACATACAATATCAAAGTATAAATTTCATTGTATATGTGTCAAATAAAATAATACCTTAAACAAAGTGTGGCTTTTGTACATATGTGTATAGATGTACAAGAGTTTCGACATCATTAAGTAATACCGCTTACAACGGTAAAAAATTGGAACATATACATACAATATCTTAGTATAAATTTAATTGTATATGTGTCGAATAAAAAAATACCTTACACAAAGTGTGGCTTTTGTACATATGTGTATAGATGTACAAGAGTTTCGACATCATTAAGTAATACCGCTTACAACTGGAAAAAATTGGAACATATACATACTACTCATACAATATCTAAGTATAAATTTTATTGTATATGTGTCGAATAAAATAATACATCATTAAGTAATACTGCTTTCAACGGGAAAAATTTGGAACATATACATCCAATATCTAAGTATAAATTTAATTGTATATGTGTCGAATGACCGTACTCAAATTTCTGTTAAATTGAATATGAAAAACAGTGAGTGTAAAAGGTATAAATCGCACATATGTACTTATATGAATTTTCAATGAAATATATAGATATATGTTTAGAATGTCTATAAGTGTATAAATCCCACACTTTCAGTCAGGCTTAGTTAAATTTATATTGATAACTTCATGCTCTATCAATATCAAGGTTTGTCACTCACTAGTTCTCTTTATGTTCAATCGAATATGAAATTCAAAGAGTGAGAAAAGTATAAATGAATCATATGTACTTATATAAGTTTTCAATAAAAACTATAGATATATGTATAGAATTTCTGCAAGTGTATAAATGATAAAATGTCAGTCAAGCCAAATGGAATTTATATTTAATACAGTATCAAGTTTTTATCACTTAATTAGTAGTTCTTTTTAAGCGAGAGGTCTCGACAAATCCGTTTTAATATCCAACTTTATCTTATTACCATTTGACAATATGGCAAATATTTTCCCCTCATCAGACCACACAAAACAAAAATTTGATAAACATCAGTAACTTACACTTTATATATCGTCAAAGGAAATGCGCAAATGTGAAAGCGGCAAGATAAGCAAAATGAAGTTTGTGTTTCTAGATAAGACTGTTGAACTTAATGAGACCACTTCATTTATATTTAAGTGCGGAAAATACCAAGTATTATTATGACTGCACCCATAATCTACGTGCATCTATCCCTCTGCATACTCTGAGGAATATTGTCGTCTGCTTTAATACCGTCTGTTGTTGTTGGTGTTGTTTCTTTTCTTTTCTTCAATTTCATTTAGTCCATTTTTCTCGAAATTGAAAAAAAACCCAACAGCAAACAAAATGTTAACCTGGCGATAGCATGTAGACGTCCACAAGATGTACTCGATTTCTGGTCTAGTATACTGTGCTCCTCTTAGTTCACGGTACTTAACGATTTGAAACCAGAAAAGAAAACCACAAATGAAACTTATGGTACAAAAATTGTCATATGCTGTTACATATATGTATTTTCCGCTGCATAGCACAAGGACACAACAATATATTCAAAGTCAATTTTAATGGACCAAAAGGAGAAAAATTCTATAAGACCTAGTCTTTCGTTCTAATCCTCTTCTTTGAATATTGTCAAATTTTGTATGTGTATATATTTCAAATGTTATTATGTACATATTCTGAGAATAAATATGTTTAAACTAATGGACCAAACGTAGACCATAAGTCGGCCATTTTGAAAACAGCATGTCATCATTAAAATCACAGTAATAGTGTTACATATCAGTTTTTTCACGTTTCAGATAAAATTTCTACATGTTATTTTGCTTGATTTTAAACATTAAAATAATCCTTACTTTGTAACTCAAAATTTATTCTTTCAACAAACAAGAACATTTAGAAAATGATGATTGTGTCAGATATATGCACTAATTAAATGGACTATTATTGCTTTTTGCAGAAATTTGTAAAATGTTGTTCTATTTTACGTAAAAATCTAGACATTTAAAATGTTTTGCACAAATCTTTGTTGTTTAGGTGTATGAATATGTCAGTTCAGACCAATTTTAACACTGCTCACATGAAAATAGGTCATTACCGAAAAATAAGTAATGACGCGGAATTCGTGATGTTGAGTATATATGCGTAGGCCGTGATGATCGCACTCACCATGTTTATGTTGGGAGTAGCATGGTACAATTCATTACTAAAGTAGGATGTCCATTAAAATGGACATTTGAAATCATAGATAAGATACTTGTTTGAAGTACTCTATTGGAAACGGAAAAGCAATGAAGACTATCAACAATAATTACGTGAGATCCTACATGTTTTGATGTACTGTGCGTATTACGTGAGATCCTACATGTTTTGATGTACTGTGCGTTTAGGATAACTATTTAGTGACGCGGTGGTCAAGTCCACTATAACGGTGTAAAACAATTATCATATTGTGTTTAATATCTTAAGTCTATAAATTAAAATATCGACAAATACCAACTGTCGGCGTAACGCAGTGGGTAAAGCTTTGCCATGGAGACTTTTCAAATTCTATTTCTTCTCTTGAATAATATTCACTTCTAAATACCCTGTTTTACCTATTCAGACAAAGGTTGTAAACTTTTGTGTACACGAAAAATGCAACGTCACTGTCAGATTATCATAACGGCACAATACTATAGTATACCCCGTTTAACTATAAAAGCACATCAATTACCAGTCTAAAAGTCAGCTTGCATCCACTTCTAAAGGTATGTATATGTTTTATTTATGTTTTCTCATTTATTTCTGCTAAAATAATAATAATAATAGCAATAATAATAATAACGATATTAATTTAACAAGGCAAATTAATATAAATCATATTTTTTTCAGTCAAAAGGCATTTGTCCTATCAGTTGAATAAACAAAAACTTCGCATTTAGAAATAAATCTTCGCATTAATACACATAGATTTATTGGGAATGACGCATGAGCAATTGTATTTGTTATATCGCTATGGCCGGTTGTGCGAAGTTGTTTTACTACGCACGACCATTTACGAGTGTGAAGGAATTCACCAAATCCATAGAACACTCATTTTCATTTAAATAGCTGTACACTTTACATTTTTAAAAGGATCTAAATGTTGAATATTATACAATTATTGACTAGTGAGCCATTGAATATGATACAGATGACATACTGACCGAGGCGATAGCCGCGCCGATAATACATCATATCCAATGGCTCACTATAGTCCAGCAATTGTGTAGTATTCACGGCAGAAAATCATATCGCTATCGCCTCGGTCAGTATGTCACCTGCCGGTGAATATCACATCATATTCAATGGTGCACCAGTCAAAAATGTATAATAATAAATGTATAATGCATAAACAAAATTTGAAGAAATGGCGTAGTAGTACAATAACATTCATGACGCCATGACGCAAGCAATCGAGGTGTTGAGTACGAAAAAAAGAAGATCATAACGTACATACAGTTTTGTGTTTGTAAAATTTTCATCAAATAATTAGGTGTATAAAAATAAATAATTAATTATTATCTATGTTATATTTTTTCTGACACTTAATGCATTTAGGGTCCAAGATGAAGCCATTCTTACCGCTATTTGTCTTTGCTGCTGTTATTGTTGCCGGGAATGGAAGACTTATTTTCAAACACAGAGGTTTGTAGATTTCACTCATATACATACGAGTACTCTCTCGAACAATATGTGAAAATAGAAATTATTACGAATTTTAAAGAATTTGTTTCTTCCTTTGTTTTAAAACGTAAACATTTTACAACGTTTTACACACTGTCGATCAGAATTAATGAAGAATTAATTAAGTATGAAATGTAAACAATGAAACGTCAGGAAATTTAAACAATGTAAACTATAGAATGGAAAATCCTTGGTGATAATTCAGACATTTTCATATAAAAATGCTTACTCACAACCAGTTGCACTATAATTTAACATTTTTCTTTCAGTCAGCATTGGAGACGACAAGCCACTAGGTGACGTCATAAACGTTGCAGAAGACGATGACGTTTCGTTTGACGTCGAGAGCAGAGATGACGATAACGTCTTTCCGTATTTCGACGACCAGCTCGTGGAAGATTCTTTCGAAGCTGAAGATGATGTATTTGTTGGAAATGAACTTACCGGATGCCATTATGGCAAATGTGAGAGGTGTTTTAAAATGTGGAGATTGAAAGGTACGTCACAACAAAATTTCTCTCAAATTATCAATATCTGTACTATAGAATTTCTATATTTTCATTAGTAAAAATATAATATATAGATCTTTATTCTAAGTCAGTTGTACTTATCATAAAGGAGTTGAATATTCTAAATGAATTGTACTTAATATATTTATTTTGAAAAACAATATTAGATTATCTAAACTGTTTATTTCTGAAATGTTAATATTTTTACAGCATGCATTGTCGCGGAAATGACCTACGAAGGCATCAAACTGAGCTTCAAAGCTTATGGCAGAAGTATTTCCCATGTTATTAAAAGTAAGTGAATTTCATTTTATTATACATGTTAACGGACTTGTTGTGTCCCGGGACAAATGATTCTTTGGAAAGTAAGTTTTATTTTGGAAATAAAAGTTTAGTTGAAAGAGGAAAAATATCCGGATCATCAAACTAATGAACTTTCCAAAAAAAACATTTCCCACGTTACTACCGGTAAATGAAAGTCAGTTCTTTAATCGCGACCTAGTTTTCTTCACAGACGCTTGGGGGTCAGACCCTGCCCTCAACGTGATACGCCCCTGTAAACACTTAAAATATATTTTAAACTTTTAGACACGAATTGGACATCTGTTGCAAGGATAAAATTGGTTTTCTAACAATTTTGACATAAACATACTTTTTACCATCAAGTCTCAATAAAGTAGTTTATTGGTTGTTGTTTGTTTTTGTTGTTTAATTATTTTTTATTATTTCTTGCTTGTTTATTTTTTGCCCTGCATATTTGTTTTAGTTTTTTTTTATCTATATTCATATATTTTTATCTTAATTTGTGCAATGTAATTGTTGTACCATATGTAGGGGCAATAAGTCATGAATGTATTTGTTTTTCAGGCAATGGCAGCTCCACCTTGAGAATACAGAAAAGCAGACTCCCCGAATCCATGAGAAAACTGATGAAAAGCGATCTAGAAATAAGGGTACAACCAAAAATTTACCACCATCATATTTTCTTTTTTCTTTTTCTTTTTCGTATGCTTTTTACAATACAATGAAAAAAATATTTTTTCTTTATACTCTCGAATCGTTTTTATAACATTATCGCCATTGAGCTAATAATGGGTCTACATGTATATTTATTGCATATTTATTGGAATAAAAATGCATGAACAACTTTCAGTTATTTACAAGTAAAAAAATAATATTCATTTTCTGGTGTTGAAAACACATGATTTATGCTTAAATACAACACAATCAATAGGATTGTTTAAGTAAGTTATAATCGTATTTATATAGAACATGATAATTATCAATTAGAAAAACTCGAAGGAGAAAAAAAACATTGTTTTACAAAAAATGTACTTTGATATTTATAATAGTAACTGTTGTTTTTCCCCATCCAGATTTCCGGTGTTGACATCGCTAGGAAGCAACTGTGTGTCCAGCTGAAGGTCAACGTGAAGTACTTTGGGAATATAAAATGGCCAAAGGGAAGTCCACAATGCTTCACGCTATAGGAATTCCAGCGTTTCTAAGCTGCACAGAGAAATCTGCCATTCCTAATTTAACGTGAACTGTATGTCCACATCCGGTTCCGGTCTACAAAGTTTCCAACTTTATTTTTGTACAAGACATTCACGTAAATTCTGAATTTAGTTTAATCTATCTACATGTATTCTTACTTTCTCTATTCCATACATGAAGTCTAAACATATATAATCATATAAAACTACAATAAAGAAAGAAAATTTCAGATTGCTATTATTTTTAATTTTAAGCAGGGTCCTTCAAATAGAAAGACCTTGTTTCACGGACTTTCAATTTACATTAAATAAATTTGTAAATTAAAGTCCGTGAATATATGCATCATTGGAAAAAACGAGAACGGGATCCGTGGTCGAGTGGTTACGGTCGTTGACTTCAAACCACTTGCCCCTCACCGCTGTGGGTTCGAATCCCGACAATGACTTTGGATTCTTTCATGTGAGGAATCTATCCAGCTAGTTTACAGAACGTCGGTGGTTCTACTCAGGTGTCCGTTCGTGCCTGAAAAAATGCACGGAGGGGCACCTGAGGTCTTTGTCCACCAGTAAAGCTGAAACGTCGCCAAATGATCTATACTGTGTCGGTGTGACGTGAAACCCAAATCAAACAAACAAAAACGCCACTCGAAGCAGAGCGTCATCGCGCACCTGCTGACTAGATATCTTTACCCTAGCATTTAAGTTGGCTTCGATATCGAAGAATGATTTGAAGGGCGTAAGTGCTCCGAGTTAAAAAGGACAATTTTATAAGGGCGAAACTACAACGTAACTACACCGTTCTCAAATTTTATAAGGCCCTTTTAAGATTTTGATACGTTAGTTCAAATAGATAGTCAGAATGATAGTCACTCTAACGCAAGTTGGGACTTTATGTCACGAGTCAAGGACACACCTTGACACATTTTAAGGATACGCATTGTAGATAAAGGGATCCAAGGTCTATTCCCAGGGGTGGGGGGGAGTGCAATTCTATATCTGACAAGAATCATTTGAGTCATCGTCTATGAATTGTCAATTAGTTTGAAGTTTTATTACTTTGCATGCCACTGAATAACTGAACCACTAGAAACAAAATGAAAAGATTAAAGAAAATAGCAATATTGTATTCAAACAGGCGCTTAACATGTTTCGTAATATATAGGCATCAAGTTGTACCTATCTATAATCAGATGTGTGTGGGAGGAATGTCTCCTCCGATAGACCGAGAAATTTCCAAAAATGAAGCAACGATATTGCATTAAATTGTCTTTATAAACATTCAAAATTGTGTCATGTTAAAGAATGTATATTCTACTCCAATAGCTTCATGTGGCAACAAAGATACCTGATATTTTCAACAATGTGTCTCTGTGCAGTAAAAACTTTAGAAACTGACAAAATCCACACCTCTTCTGTGTTAGAAGTCATTCTGAGATGACAGGAGACACTGTGCATGTCAAGCCTGTAAAAGGGTCGGAAAGACCCAGATTACATAAAAGCTAATATTAATAATTTCTTTATAGGAAAACTTTTAATTACAATTATTTAAATAATAACTAAGGTTATCGTACATTGGGCCATTAGACAACACTCTGTGACGGGAATAGACTATATTATTGTAACATAGAGTTCAGATATTTTAATGTTAAATACAGTTGACATTGCCTAGTCTTAATGTCGTTGATCTAAAGTTTATTTTTGTTAATTACAATAAAATTTGAATCTGTTAGTAGTATAAATAGTGTATCTTTCCAAAGTTTCAAAGTGCTTTTAAGCTTGTATTTGGCAGTTTTTTTTAAGTATTTTAAAGTAAATTCCTGAGTACAATAGGTATACATGAATACATGATTCGATGATAATATTTCATGTGTATCTTATGAATAACCATTCATTCATTCATGCCTCAATAAAGAAAAAAAAGATTTATTTTGTGTATTTCATCTGAAAATGTATATTTTAGTTTTCAAAAATATTTTCAACTTGCTTGAATCAGGCTACTGTCACTAGAACCAAAGGTTTAACGGTTCAAGCCCCGTTAGGGCCAAGGTATTGTTTCCTTTCTTTTCTTCAGGGTAGGTAACTCTGATTTAATAATGAAAGGTTAGAGTGATTTCCCTTTCTTTCCTTCTGGGGAGGTTACTCTATCTGGCTTAATAATGAAAGGGAAGAGTGATTTTCCTTTGTTTTCTTCAGGGAGGTTACTCTATCTAATTTAATAATGAAAGGTCAGAGTGATTTCCCTTTCTTTTCTTCTGGGGAGGTTACTCTATCTGGTTTAATAATGAAAAGTAAGAGTGATTTCCCTTTGTTTTCTTCAGGGGAGGTTACTCTATCTGGCTCAATTAATAAAGGTTAGAGTGATTTCCCTTGTTTTCTTCAGGGGAGGTAACTCTATCTGGTTTAATAATGAAGGTTGGAGTGATTTTCCTTTGTTTTCTCCAGGGTAGGAGGTAACTCTATCTGATTTAATAATGAAAGGTTAGAGTGATTTCCCTTTCTTTCCTTCAGGGGAGGTTACTCTATCGGGCTTAATAATGAAAGGTAAGAGTGATTTCCCTTTGTTTTTTTCAGGGGAGGTTACTCTATCTGGCATATTAATGTAAGGTTAGAGTGATTTCCCTTTGTTTTCTTCAGGGGAGGTTACTCTATCTGACTTAATAATTATAGGTTAGAGTGGATTTTCCTTTGTTTTTATCCAGGGGAGGTAACTCTATCTGATTTAATAATGAAAAGTTAGCGAGTGATTTCCGGCTTTCTTTCCTTCAGGGAGGTTACTCTATCGGGGCTTAAATAATGAAAGGTTAGAGTGATTTCCCATTTGTGTTTCAATTCAGGGGGGGCACGCGGAGGTTACTTTATCTGGCTAAATGATAATAATGAAGTGTGTCGAGTTAGAGCGGTGATTAATCCCGAATGACACGTTTTTCCTTCGGAGAATGAAGGAGGTTTTTAACTACTCTATCATTGGCTTAATATATTAATAAGGATAGAGTGATTTCCCTTTGTTTCCTCAGGGGAGGCAACTCTATTTGCTTATTTAATGAAAGGTAAGAGTGATTTCCCTTTGTTTTCTTCAATGGGAGGTTACTCTATCTGGCTTAAAAATGAAAGGTTAGAGTGATTTCCCTTTGTTTTATTCAGGGGAGGTTACTCTATCTGACTTAATTTTTGAAAGGTTAGAGTGATTTCCCTTTGTTTTTCTTCAGGGGAGGTTTACTCTATCTGACTTAATAATGAAAGGTAGAGTGATTCCCTTTGTTTTCTTCAGGGGAGGTTACTCTATCTGGCTTAATAAATGAAAGGTTAGAGTGATTTCCCTTTGTTTTCTTCAGGGGATGTTACTCTATCTGGCTTATAAATGAAGGTTAAAGTGATTTCCCTTTGTTTTATTAGGGGAGGTTAACTCTATTGGATTTAATAATGAAAGGTAAAGTGATTTCCCCTTTGTTTTCTCTAGGGAGGTTACTCTATCTGGCTAAATAATGAAAGGTAAGAGTGATTTCCCTTTGTTTTCTCTAGGGGAGGTTACTCTATCTGGCTTAATAATGAAAGGTTAGAGTGATTTCCCTTTGTTTTCTCCAGGGGAGGCAACTCTATCTGGCTTATAAATAGAGGAAAGAGTGATTTCCCTTTGTTTTCTTCAGGGAGGTTACTCTATCTGGGCTTAATAATTAAAAGTTAGTGATTTCCCTTTGTTTCCTTCAGGGGAGGTAACTCTATCTGGCTTAATAATGAAAGGTAAGAGTGATTTCCCTTTGTTTTCTCCAGGGGAGGTTACTCTATCTGGCTTAAAAATGAAAGGTTAGAGTGATTTCTCTTTGTTTTACTCAGGGGAGGTTACTCTATCTGACTTAATTATGAAAGGTTAGAGTGATTTCCCTTTGTTTTATACAGGGGAGGTAACTCTATCTGGCTTATAAATAGAGGATTAAAAATGAAAGGTTGGAGTGATTTCCCTTTGTTTTACTCAGGGGAGATTACTCTATCTGACTTAATAATGAAAGGTTAGAGTGATTTCCCTTTGTTTTATTCAGGGAGGTAACTCTATCTGATTTAATAATGAAAGGTTAGAGTGATTTCCCTTTCTTTCCTTCAGGGGAGGTTACTCTATCTGACTTAATAATGAAAGGTTAGAGTGATTTCCCTTTGTTTTATTCAGGGGAGGTAACTCTATCTGATTTAATAATGAAAGGTTAGAGTGATTTCCCTTTCTTTCCTTCAGGGGAGGTTACTCTATCTGACTTAATAATGAAAGGTTAGAGTGATTTCCCTTTGTTTCCTTCAGGGGAGGTTACTCTATCTGACTTAATAATGAAAGGTTAGAGTGATTTCCCTTTGTTTTATTCAGGGGAGGTAACTCTATCTGATTTAATAATGAAAGGTTAGAGTGATTTCCCTTTGTTTTCTTCAGGGGAGGTTACTCTATCTGGCTAAATAATGAAAGGTAAGAGTGATTTCCCTTTCTTTCTTTCAGGGGAGGTTACTCTGTCTGTCTGACTAATGAAAGGTAAGAGTGATTTCCCTTTGTTTTCTTCAGGGGAGGTTACTCTATCTGGCTTAATAATGAAAGGTAAGAGTGATTTCCCTTTGTTTTCTCCAGGGGAGGCAACTCTATCTGGCTTATAAATAGAGGAAAGAGTTTTTTCCCTTTGTTTTCTTCAGGGGAGGTTACTCTATCTGGCTTAATAATTAAAAGTTAGAGTGATTTCCCTTTGTTTTCTTCAGGGGAGGTAACTCTATCTGATTTAATAATGAAAGGTTAGAGTGATTTCCCTTTCTTTCCTTCAGGGGAGGTTACTCTATCTGACTTAATAATGAAAGGTTAGAGTGATTTCCCTTTGTTTCCTTCAGGGGAGGTTACTCTATCTGACTTAATAATGAAAGGTTAGAGTGATTTCCCTTTGTTTTATTCAGGGGAGGTAACTCTATCTGATTTAATAATGAAAGGTTAGAGTGATTTCCCTTTGTTTTCTTCAGGGGAGGTTACTCTATCTGGCTAAATAATGAAAGGTAAGAGTGATTTCCCTTTCTTTCTTTCAGGGGAGGTTACTCTGTCTGTCTGACTAATGAAAGGTAAGAGTGATTTCCCTTTGTTTTCTTCAGCGGAGGTTACTCTATCTGGCTTAATAATGAAAGGTTAGAGTGATTTCCCTTTGTTTTCTCCAGGGGAGGCAAACTCTATCTGGCTTATAAATAGAGGAAAGAGTTTTTTCCCCTTTGTTTTTCTTCA